TGCCTGCGCGATTCTCCGCGAGCAGCTGGAGCATCGCGCAGGCGCTAAGACGCATGCGTGAACTGCGCATGTGCATGAGGATACCACCGGCCCCGTTCCAACTGAACCGGTTGGAACAGGATTAGCAACCCACCACTGCTCTGCACCAATCTCCAGTTTACAATGCAGCCTTTGCAACAGTTCCCAGAAGTTTCTTCCTGATTCAGGTGACCCTGAAGGCAAAGGTAAACCCCCAAGTGGCCTCAACCGCTCTCAGAGAGTGCTAACAGACAATTGCAAAGAAATACAATCCTTCCACACACACCCATCCTATCAGAACTTATTCTTCCATCTCCCCACCATCCAGACTCAACTGTCAGTACTTATCCTTCCATCCCCCTACCATAAGAACTAATGAAGCTTCTTGGAGAAGAGAAACGTTTTCTTCTTCCTCAAGGAAAAAACAATCCAGTTCTATTTTCAAGGGGGAAAAAGCACCTTTGAGACATTAAATATAACCATGTGGCTAAAGTTCAAATTTTTCAGTTACCATTTCAAATTACACATGATAATTTTTTCAATGAATAATATTTTAGTCCATTGAGACTTGAAATCATCCAACTAATCAGATTATGCTACATTTTTAATATTGCTACATGATTACATATGACCAATCACTATTTTTCAATTTAATATTTAATAATAATACTTAATATTAAAAATCATTTATGCTATTTTGGGTGGCTTGTTCTTAGGAGATCTACTGTAAATTGCTTTGGATATATTTTGTTTGAAAGAAAATATATTCTTTAACCAAAGAAAAAGATGTAGAACTTATTTCAAGCCTCTAAGCAAAAACATCAGGAGCACATGAAGCAGAGCATATATTTATTAATATGGGCAAAGTATGATACATCAAAATATAAGAAGATATAAATATAAATCATCTAAAATACTAAAGACAAAATATATCAAGATTATAGATTATTTACCGACTACATAAATCAAGGTCTATGCTTCTTCCAAAATGAAGCTATCTAAGACCAAGAACACAAAGTGCATTTGATCAGTGACATTATATCCCAGTCACAAAGCTAAGTCAAAGACAAATTAGTTCCAAATCACTTTTAAGAGACAAAAATACTTAAAAGGGAGACAAGTTACATCATTCCTCCCCAAACCCTTGCAATCTCAAGGTCCCGAGAATAAATTGCATGTCTCTATTTCCAAGCCATAAAACTGAAAACTAATTTTCCACAGAAATTCACACAGATAAGGAAGAATTCACAGGAGCACATGAGAAGTATAAGCTACTCAGCAAAGATGTGGGCATTTTTGTTTATATGTCAAATGCTTCTTTAGGCATACAAGCAGCTATGACAAGGAGAAGCTATCTTTGTTTGACCAACTTTCCCCAAACTGTTGTATTCCAGTTAGCCACAAATTTCCATAAATGCCACCAATATAGCCAAAATCTTAGAATAATGGGAATGAAAGCCAGCCAACATATCTGGATGAAACTTACTGAATTTAACAGAGATTAGATGGTAGGTAGGTAGGTAGGTAGGTAAGATAGATGATAGCTAGATAGCTAGATAGCTGGATAGCTAGATAGCTAGATAGCTAGATAGCTAGATAGCTAGATAGCTAGATAGCTAGATAGCTAGATAGCTAGATAGC